TGCCTTATTTCACTTAGTATATGAACTCCAGGTCCATCCATGTGGTCCCAATTGAAAGAATTTCCTTCTTTTTTATAGCTGGGTAGTAGTCCAGTCTGTGTGTGTGAGTGTGTGTGTGTGTGTGTGTGTGTGTGTGTGTGTGCATGCATATGTGTGAGCACATACCAATCTTTATCCATTCATCCATGGACAGACATTCCAGTCATTTTCATATCCTGGCTATTGTGAATAATACTGCAATGAACATGGGATTTCAGATACCTCTTCAAGATCCTCACTTACATTTTTTTGTATAAAAACCCAGATATGGGATTGCTGAATCATATGGTAGTTATATTCAAAAAAAATTTTTTTAATGTTTATTTATTTTTGAGACACAGAGTGAGACAGAGCATGAGTGGGGGAGGGCCAGAGAGAGGGAGACACAGAATCGGAAACAAGCTTCAGGCTCTGAGCTGTCAGCACGGAGCCCGACACGGGGCTCAAACCACGAACTGCGAGAACATGACCTGAGCCGAAGTCAGATGCCCAACCGACTGAGCCACCCAAGTGCTCCTATGGTGGTTCTATTTTTAATGCTTTGAGGAAACTCCATATTCTTTTCCATGGTGGCTGCACCAGTTTGCATTCCCACCAACAGTGCATGAGGGTTCCCACTCCTCCAAGTCCCGCCAAACTTCTCTCTTGTTTTTTAAATTACAGTCATCCTTACTGTCAAGTTAACTAACACACAGCGTATACACGGTGCTCTTGGCTTCGGGAGTAGATTCCCATGAGTCATCGCTTACATACAACACCCAGTGCTCATCCCAACAAGTGCCCTCCTCAATGCCCATCACCCACTTTTCCCTCCCCACCCTAGTCCCCCACCCCCATATTAAAAAAATTATCTAGGTCAGAATGAAGAACTGGGAGACACTGTTGCCTATTTTTGGCATTTTCTATAATTCAAACCCAACACTGGGTTGAGAGGGGGATAGTGGTTTTTACTGAGGTGGACCATTAACATCAAGTTTTTAGGATGATTATTAAAAGGTTTGTATTAAAACAATAATAATAATAGTCATCCTAAGAGGTGTGATGTAACATCTCATTGTGACTTTGATTTGCATTTCCCTGACGATGAGTGATGTTGAGCACGTTTTAATGTACTTATCAGCCATCCGTAGGTCTTCTTGGGAGAGATGTCCATTCAGATCCTCTGCCAATTTTTTAATGGGATTATGTGCTTTTTTGCTATTGAGTTGTAGAAATCCTTATATATTTTTATATTAACTCCCTAGTAGATACATGGTTTTGACTGCCTTCCCCTGCTGTGTGCTCCCTTCTCGTGTTTTGATGGCTTCCTGTGCTGTGCAGAGGCCTCTGATTTCATGGAGTCTCCCCGCTTCACTTCTTTCTGTTGCCTGTGCTTTTTGGTGTCAAATTTAAAAAAAAAATCATTGCTAAGACCAATGTCAAGGAGATTTCCCCCCACGTCTTCTTCTGGGAGATTTTTGGTTTCAGGTCTTCCATTTAAGTCTTTAATCCATTTTGAGTTAATTTTCACATATGTGTAAGCTAAGAGTCCAACTTTATTCTTCCCCATGTGGCCGTCCAGTTTTCCCAGCACCGCTCTTGAAGAGACTGCCCTTCACCTTGTGCCTTTTTTGGGTTCTTGTCATAGATCAGTTGACTGTGTGTCGGTTTATTTCTGGGATTTCTATTCTATTTTACCGACCTATGTGTCTGTTTATATGCTAAACGTGCTTTTTTGATTAGTGTAGCTTTACAATATGGTTGGAACTCAAGAAATATGATGCCTACAGCCTTGTTCCTCTTTCCCAAGATTGCTTTGGCTATTTGGGGGATTTTTATGGTTCCATAAAAATTTTAGGATTGTTTGTTCTGTCTGTGAAGAATGCCATTGGTATTTTCATATGGGTTGCATCAAATCTACAGATCACTTGTGGTGGTTTTGACATTTTAACAATATTAATCCTTCCAACCCATGATCATGGGATATCTTTCCACTGCTTTGTGTTTTCCTTAATTTTTTCATTAATGCCTTATTGATTTCAGTGTACACATCTTTGGTCTTCATCCCATGAAGCCCCTGGTATATAGATGGCCAACAGATGCACTCACTCTACAGGGGGCCGGGAGAGCTTAGGGAAGACTTGGACCCCCAAGTGTACGCAGGGGACCCGGGCTCCGCTTATCCGGCACTGAGAACACTCATCCGGGGACCTCAGAGTGATGTGCTGTGAGTGGTGCTCCCTACAACCCTCCATGCCAGCTGTGTCTTCGCGGTGAGCCTCCATCACACATTTGCATGTTCTCCAGCGACATGTGAAACCACATGGGTCTGGACACTAGCTTTTTCTGGACATTTGTGGCAAGACACCAAATGAGAGCAGTATCCTGCTGGAGCCATGGGCTTCCACTTCCTCAAGATGAGGTCCCCAAAGGCCCTTAAAAAGACTACAGTTCAGTGATTTTCACATGTTCAAAGCAGCTGAATACTTTTCTCAAATACAGTTTTATACTGAAGCCAATATATGAAACTCATACAGGAATAGCTTCTCCAGTAGGTGAGGAGACTCTGGAACCAAGAGCAGCCCAGGTTCCAGGATGCTCTTGGCCTTGCCACTACGGCACCTGGCTGGAAAGCCTACTTGTCCTCAAGTAGGAAAACTCACTGTGCCACCTCAGGCTGCTTGTGGACAGAGGACACGGAGGCCCAGAGAAGCTGGTCACTCTACGCACCTCCAGAGGAAGGGCTGAGCTCGCACCTGGCATCACTCTGTGGGTACGGTCCCCAGGCCAGTGCTCCCCTCCCACCTGGGTCTCTGTCTCCATGTCCTCTTGCGGGGGGAGGGAAGAGTTCCGGTCACCTCATGAATGGAGGAAAAGAGAATCGGGGACAAAGAATCTTGGGTCAAGTATCTGCTTGTGTAACAAGTCATTCCACCATTGAGTGTTATTTCTCATAACTCTGTGGCTTGACCACAGATTTTCTGCTGATCTCACTCTGGGTGACTCATGCATTCAGCTGGAGACAATACTGACATTTCTCTGGCCTTCTCCAAGAGAAGGGGCATGGGGCCTGGGCAGGTTTTGGGTTTCCTCAGGGCATCTAACCAAATGGCCAATAACGTCCCAACCAATCTATCCAGCTACATGTAAAGTGCATTCTACAGCCACTCACTTATTAATTCAACAAACATTTGTTAGAGAGCCAGGAACTGGATGGAGACTGGCTGGCTGGACACATTCCGGATCATTCCCAGATCCCATGAGGGAAACAGAGAGAAGCCAATTATCCCCAGTATCCTGGACGTACTTGGGAAGCACAGAAGAGGAGCCCTGGATGCTGCCTGGGCAGGTCAGGGAGCTTTTCATTAGACGGTATGTCCGTGTTGAGTCTTGAAAGTTGTGCATGCTGTTGTCAGAGAGACACCACAAGGGAACATGCACGGGGACACGGCATCGAGGGGAAGGCACTGACAGGTACAGAGTTCCTCTCTTTTGGGAGCCACCAAGGACCTTTCTACCCAAAACACATTCTTTTCTTTAGGAGAGGTTGCCACCCAAGGAAAAGAGTCACGTTTCCTGACAAAGGGGAGAGAAAACTGATTGAACCCAAGTCTGAAGCAGAGGGTTCCACCCCAAAGCCAAAATCCAATGTCTTTGTGTATGTGTGTGCGTGTGTGTGTTTGTGTGTGGTGGTGGGGGGGTGATGATGGGGAGGTGCCACGGAGGGACTGGATTATTACCAAAGTGTGGCTTGAGGTTATTCATTAGGGACTTATTTCACCCAAAAAAATGTGAAATACTTAAGACAGCAGTCCCAGTGTGCCACAGTGATTCCAGGATATCTCAGCGTCCCAGTCTATTGCTGACTTCATCATCTGCCTGCCATCTTTGGAACCTACTCTCAGAGTCCCCTCATCATTGGCCATGGCCCCCACCCTCACGGCCCCCCCACCCTTGGCCATGACCCCCACCCTCAGGGTCCCCCTATCCTTGGTCATGGCCCCCAACCTCATGGTCCCCCCATCCTTGGTCATGGCCCCCACCCTCACGGCCCCCCCATCCTTGGCCATGACCCCCACCCTGAGGGTCCCCCCATCCTTGGCCATGGCCCCCACCCTCATGGTCCCCCCCCATCCTTGGTCATGGCCCCCACCCTCATGGTCCCCCCATCCTTGGTCATGGCCCCCACCCTCAGGGTCCCCCCATTCTTGGCCATGGCCCCCATCCTCAGGGTCCCCTCATCCTTGGCCATGACCTCCACCCTCATGTTTTTCTCATCATCCCAAATGACTGCTGCACCTCTGATCATCGTATCTGCATTCCACAGTCAAAAACGGGGGTAGTAAAGGAAAGAGATGGGATGAAACAACAAGTCCATTTCTTTACAAGACCTTCCTGGAAGCCTGCCCACTGTGTCCGTATACCTCTCCTTGTCCACACCTGGGTTGCTCCACCACTCCTGGCTGAAATGCGGGAGGGAAAGTGTCATTTTGTGGCCTGGAAGCCGACACCCAGGATAAAATCAGAGTCCTGTTAAGGGAGAAAGGAACCGCGGGGGCTGCGCAGGCAATCAGCCATTTCTCCAGTGGACGCACCGGGAGATGTAGAGGGGAGGCTGAGGAGTCCACCCAAAGAGGATGCAGGAGCACTGTGAGAGCACGCCTTCTTCTGCTCGTCTTTGCCGGGAGGCCACGCGCACGGAAGAGGCGTGCACAGGCAGCCAGCAGCTGCCCTCAGGTGCCTTTTGCAAGCAAATTCCTTTTTCTTTTCTTTTTAAAAAAATTTTAAAATGCTTTTGTTTTCTTTTTGAGAGACAGAGCATGAGAGGGGGAGGGGCAGAGAGAGAGGGAGACACAGCATCCAAAGCAGCTCCAGGCTCTGAGCTGTCAGCACAGAGCCCGACGCGGGGCTCAAACTCATGAACTGCAAGATCATGACCTGAGCTGAAGTCGGACGCTTCACCGACTCAGCCCCCCAGGCGCCCCTCGATTCCTTTTTCTAATGGGTGGAAAGGGTGGGCCACAGAAAGTTGCTGTGGTTTTCACTTGGGTTTCACAGAGGGGTGGTGTAGACGGGCACAGAGGACCCACTGTTCCTGTCCAACTGGCCAGTGGCTGCCCTCACAGAGTACATGGGGGGGCCAAGAGTGGAAAAACCCCTGTGTCGTGCTTGTGTTTCACCGATATGCTCCGGTTAATTAAAGTGACAGAGACGATTTATCAAGATCCGTAAAATCCACCCTCTCTCTCCAAGTCCATGACATGGCCGCAAGTGACGACACCAAGGCCAGCTTTTTGGCATTGGATCCGCTGCCTTTTGGTGTCACTCCCAAGTCAACATCCTCTCAGATGTCTTTTGGAAGTTTGCTTGCTTGAATGTTGGCGGTGTTTGGAAACTGGGTAATAAAATGCAAAGTGCAGCGGCTGTTCTAACAAAGGAAAAAAATGTGATTGAGGGGGGCTGGGGGACTTCATCTGGGCTCCGTCCCTGGCAGTTCATACAAGTTTATGATTGCTGTGGGCTTAGATGATGTGTGGAAAGAAGCTGACAGGCCTGGCTGGTGCACATTTGAACTTTATCCTCTTAAATCCTGCCTTTCTGAAATGGGGCGAGTGAAACAGAAACCCCCTCCAGGAGGACTGAGTGCAGTTGGTTTGGGGCTGTGTGGGGGCCAGCGGGTCGTGTCCCTGAGGGCAGGAGCGCCCACACCAGCCGGTTCCGATCCCAGCACGGCTCCCTGCCTTGCTCCCCTTCCTGAAGGGGCACGTCCAGGGTGCACCGGGGTCAGCTGTCCCCTCCACAAGCTGGCCTGCTTGTGGGGCTACCGCCAACCTAACGGCTCTCCGGGGACAGGCTCGCTGATGCAAGATTTGCCTCCTCTGTCCTTATTCTTCCAAGAATAATAAACAAGTCTGTACCCAGACTCCGAGCTGATGTGTATCTCCTGGGCCGAAGAAACATGGAAAGAACAAACAACATCTTCCCACTCACTTGAGACATTCTGCTGTTTGGAGCCTTAAGACACAAGATGTAGGACCGTGAGCCTCCCAGGAAGTAGGGTTGGAACTTGGAATCTGCATGAGGACCTGGTCTCTGCATCCGTGTTTCAGTAGAGTATTAACAGAAAACTGGAGATGAGGTGAGGCCAGCAGCTCAGGAGTTGACCTCCACTGGAGAGGAGGGCACATGCCAGCCACGCAGGGCCACGTGGAGAAGCACCAGGGCCGGTCAGGCCACAGAGGGAGTGAGCAGATGCATGACCAGAACCATACTGTGGTTTCCACAGGAAGGAACCCAGCAGGTAGCAGAAGCAGGCTTAGATCGCAAGTCTGAGCAACATCAGTGGGCTCTGGGCTATCCTAGACATCTGGTGCCTGGCCCTGGGGTGACAAGGTCGGGGGGGTACTGGCCCAGACCGTGAGGGCTGAAAGAGGAAGTGGTGGTTGTGGGCTCTGGGTGTTGGTTTGTATTTGAAAAGTGTGCTCCTGGGACAGCCGACGCTCGGTACGCCTGGCCGGCTCCGGATGGGGCAGCGCCTCCAGGGCCAGGACGGCCCCAGCTGCCCCAGCGTCAGACACAGGAAAGAGATGTGGTTGATGCTGTACCACCCAGGGCTGGTTAGGTGGGAAGGTGCCTGTAGAGCCACATCCTAGAGCAGGCGGGAAGACTGTCAGGGCACCTGCATGCCCGGCAGATGGATGACTGCCCAGAGGAGGGATGACTGCCCTGCAGAGGGATGACCACCCAGAGGAGCGATGACTGCCTCGTGGAGGGATGACCGCCTGGCACAGGGATGACTGCCTCGCAGAGGGATGACCATCTGGCGCAGGGATGACCACCCAGTACAGGGATGACTGCCCAGTGCAGGGATGACCGCCCAGTGCAGGGATGACCGTCCAGTACAGGGATGACCGTCCGGTGCAGGGATGACCATCCAGTACAGGGATGACCGTCCAGTACAAGGATGACCGTCCAGTGCAGGGGTGACCACCCAGTACAGGGATGACTGTCCGGCACAGGAATGACCTTCTGGTACAGGGATGACCACCCAGTAGAGGGATGACCACCCAGTGCAGGGATGACCGCCTGGTGCAGGGATGACTGCCCGGCACAGGGATGACCTTCTGATACAGAGATGACTACCCAGTACAGGGATGACTGCCCAGCACAGGGATGACCGTCTTGTACAGGGATGACCACCCGGTGCAGGGATGACCGCCCGGTGCAGGGATGACCGCCCAGCACAGGGATGACCGCCCAGCACAGGGATGACTGCCCAGAGCAGGTATGACTGCTGGCAGATGGATGATGCTCTCGGGGTTGCTTCTCCTGCAGCACAAGCCTTGCAGGCTGGGAGGAGGCACGGGCTTCTGCACGGCAATGCCAGTGGCAGCAGCACGTGGGACTGCAGGGGGGAGAGGGGCACACAGTTTCCTGATAGAAGGTGTGATGATGCCACCTTCTTACTTTCTCAATCACAGAGAAGAATTCGCTTCCTGGAGACAGTATGTGGTTACGGAGCAAACGAGAGGCACTCGGGGTGGAAGAAGTTGACCCCAAGCGTCTGTATCTGGAGCCTTCCGTGCAGTCACACCCTTGAGTCCTCGCTTATGGTCTCCCCGCTACACTCAGAAGACCAAGGTCAGAGAGCATCTGCCCCAGACTCCCCCTGACCCCTCGTGACCTGAAGCAGAAATACAGACACTGGGGGCGGACAGGTGGGGGGCGCAGGGCCCCCGGCCCACAGACGGGCATTTTCTCCCTCCACGGCCTGTGCCCTGCGGCCTTGTGCCTGCCTGGCTCCCCGGAGACTGGCCTTGGGCAGTGCTCAGCAGTCCCAGGAGGTGACCGCTGCCCTGGAACCTCCTTGTGCCCACGGCAGGTCTGCGTGCACGAGGCCAGGAGGGGTCAGCCCGCTATGTGACGTGGAGGCTCAGAGGGCCAGAGACTTTGATCACGTGAGATCACAGCTCCGGCTTCTTAACACCAAGTCACGAACAACTGTTGTGATGACCTCCTTGCAGCCACGGGAGCAGAGGACTCTGGTCAAAAGAGCTGCACCCAAGGTCAGGACCAGCAAGCCCATCGCGTCCTACAGCTACAGCACAAAGGGAACCTATTGGCTTCGGAACTCAAGGACCCAAAGGGAGGGCTGGCTTCGGGCAATAGCTGAGCAGGTGCTCAAATGCAGGGAGCTGTGTGGGGAGGCTGGAGGGCACATGTACTGTCTTCCTGCTGAGCCCCAATGCTCTAATCCCACCTTCCTACTTACTGGGTCAGGACTGTTTCTCAAGTTCAACATTTGATCCCCGGGATCTGTGACATAAGGAGTTCATCCAAGAGAGCTCAGTGGCATTGGGTGGACGCTGAGTGCATGGGGCCACTGACCTCTGGAGCCTGGACCACAAAGCGGGTGTATGCTCCTGCACCCTGCACGGCACACCCTTCCTCCCTGTGCACACATGAAGTCACCTTCTGCCCTGCCCTCTGGTGATGACTCTGGCTCCCCAAGAAAACAACCTGTGGTGTGCTGGGGCCACACTCTGCACAACAGAGCTGCCCGCAAGAAAAGGTGAGCTTGCTAGAGAAGGTTCCGGAAATGATCTGATGAGGGGCCGTCTTTTCAAAGCATATTCTCTTGCCACTAAATAAATAAATAAATAAATAAATAAATAAATAAATAAATAGAAGAGGTGAAGTAAAACATGGTCCACCCCTCTCCCCCGAGCTTGGTGTCCCCAGGGGAGGATTTTTGAGAAAGAACCTGTGCTCTGCGGCTGCCCCTCTGGACAGCTCTGCTCTTTCTGTGCCGGGTACAAGGCTTCTCTCATGGACACACAAGCCCCACGTGGTCAGCCGGGCCTTGCCCTGCGCGAGAGGAAGTGAGAAGAAATCTAGCATCCCTCCCCTCTCAACTCAGCCTTCCTTCAAACAGAAAAATCGGAAACGGACTCTAAGTAAAGGCTTCTACAGGCTGATCGCTATTTTAAAAATACCAAGTAGGCACGTCGTAAAGGAGTCACGGGTCCAAGAACAAGGAGGAAGAGTGAGCGTGCCTCTGTTTCTGGGAGGTCGTCCAGCACAGCCCCACGGTCCCCACGAGGAAACCAGACACAGTTAAGTGTTCACGTTCTCACCGTCGGAACAGAGCCTGTCATCCGCCACCCGGTTACTGGTGGTTCTTCCCCCAAACGCTCTCTAACCGTGGAAGGGAAGACGGCATGTAAGCTGATCTGACACCAGATTCACGTTCTCAAGATAAGGTCGCTGACTCTCCTGACAGTTTACAGGACCCGGCCAATCACCTCCAAGACCACTCTGTGACCGCTGCCAGCCCCACCTCCCAGTCACTGAAGAGCATCGGCCCTGCCCTGTCACCCGTCACCCGGCTCCCATGGAACGTGGTCCCCTTATGTCAGCTAAATAGGGGACTTCACTCGTCCTGCTGCCCCTTAGCTGATGGGAATTGGTATAAATTTCTAGTATTATATGAGTATCCCTGGAAACAGCAAACCTGTATGAAAACAAAATTATAACCACATTTCACCCTTTTATCCCAGGACAAACTATCTCAATTACTGTCACTTTTCTTTTTTTTTTTAATTTTAAAAAAATATTTGTTTATTTTTGAGAGAGAGATAGATACAGAGTGCGAGTGGGGTAGGGGCAGAGAGAGGGAGACACAGAATCCAAAGCAGGCTCCTGGCTCCCAGCTGTCAGCGCAGAGCCCAATAGGGGGCTTGAACCCACAAAGCGTGAGATCATGACCTGAGTCAAAGCTGGATGCTTACCCGACTGAGCCACCCAGGCACCCCTCACCTATTGTCAGTTTTCCTTAGGTATATGTGATTCTGCTGAATATACTTTCTAATTTCCATTTTTAAAAAATTCAGAGCAGTTTATTATCACAGCGTAACCTAAACCATAACACGGGTATTTTTTTGTTTAAAAGACACATTTTTTTCCAAATAAAAGTACATGGAATCAATGGGCAACACCCACCATAGCCACTAGTCACACACAGCTACTTAAATTAAACAAGAAGTAAAATTAAAGATTCATTTCCTCAGTTGTTCACAGCCACATGTCACTCGTGGCCATGGCCAGCATGGGCACAGAACCATTCCCTTCACAGAAAGTTCTAGAGGGTGGCGCTGAGGAGGGACCAGCCCAGAGCTCAAGTTCCAGTCCAGACCTTTCTCCACCCTGAAAGGTCATCACTCCTTATGACTGGTATATATCCTTCTCTTTCACGTGGCTTTGTGGCTTTTCCTATGGTTTTACGTGTAAATAGAGGCACATCTATGTATACACACATTGCTTGGTGACTTGTCTTTTTTCTTTGTTTCTTTCTTTTTTTTTTGAGTCTAGCTGACACACGATGTTACGTCAGTTTCAGGTGCACAGCCTAGTGATGCCACCACTCTGCTCACCACAAGTGTAGCTGCCGTCCGTCACTGACAAAATGTCCCGGACGTCGTGCAATACAAATAAATACAGAGGTGCTTAATTCTTATTTCATGGTGAATAATATCGCTCTTAGGGAATCTTATTAATGTTTTAACCATGTTTCTCCTGCTGGACGTTTGGGTGGTTTTAGAAGTAACCACTCAGCCTGTTGATATAGATCCTTCTGGTTCTTTATCTGGGTTTTATCTTTTTTCTATCTACTTTGACATAATCTGTGACATGTGATTTCTCTTTTACTGTGGAAGTAACAATAAAGCTTGGAGATTATTTTACGTTATTTATGTTCTCCTAAATCTTAATACTTGACTAATTTTGATTTTACATTTAGCTCTCAAATCCAACTAAAATTTCTTTATTTTTTTAAAATGTTTATTTATTTTTGAGAAAGAGAGAGAGAGCATGTGCGAGCATGAGTGGGGGAGGGGAGAGAGAAGAAGACATAGAATCTGAAGCAGGCTCCAGGCTCTGAGCTGTTAGCACAGAGCCAGATGTGGGGTTCTAACTCATGGACCGCGAGATCACGACCTGAGAGGAAGTCGGACGCTTAACCGACTGAGCCACCCAGGTGCCCCTCAATATTCCTTTTTAAAACTGCTGTTCCTTGTTCATACATCCCCCTTTTAGATTTTTAGATGAATTCTAGGCTTGGACTGTCGACTTCCTTTCAAAATTTTTTGTGGGGATTTTGCTCTAATTTTCTTTTTTTATTATTTGAATTCCAGTGTAGTTAGCATACAGTGCAATATCAGTTCCAGGTGTGTAATACAGCAGTTCAACACTTCATACAACACACGATGCTCATCACAACAGGTGCACTCCTCGATCCTCATCACGGATTCACTCTCACATTTTTACTGTAATTAGAAACATTTTTAACTCACCCAATACAGGTAACGATACACTAGACACCTGCACGCCTGCTGCCAAGACGTAAACGCTTTTACCGTCACTATGGATGTGTATCTAAAAATGACATAGGCTACTGCTTTAGCTGCTCTTAAAAACGCACAGTATTGACACTACACTTCGCGTATCTTTCTGTCCTAAGCCTTTTCCTTGAATTACGAGGTTTTCTGCTATTTACTTGTGTTAGTATACGTAGATCTGGTCCATAACTGCTCTGTAATATTCCATTGTATGAACTGTTAAACTTAAAAATAAAACTGCCGAGGGGCACCTGGGTGGCTCAGTCAGTTAAGCATCCGACTTCGGCTCAGGTCGTGATCTCATGGTTCGTGAGTTCGAGCCCTGCATCAGGTTCTGTACTGTCAGTGCAGAGCCTGCTTCAGATCACCTGTGTCTCTCTCTCCCTCTCTCTGCCTCTTTCTGCCCCTTCCACCCTCAAAAATAAATAAGCATTAAAAAATAAAATAAAACAAAACCACCAATTATTTTCCCAGCAATAATGGGTTTATGCTGATTCTGATTGGGGACCAGCAAGACGAGTCCAATAAACAAAGGAGAGGAAGGTTGTTTTATGGAGAAGAAGGAGGGCATTAGGAGAGGCTGTTTGGAGTGACGTCCACTGGAGAAAAGCAAAATTTCAGGGCGATGAGGTTTCCCACTGGCTGAGTTGCTGGGATGGTCAGTTTCTTGTAGGAGATGCTGCATACTTCTCTCCATGTTGGCGTCTGTAATCGACACGGATCACAGTGTCTGTCCTGTGACTGACACTGAGCAGGGCTGCTCCCGCCCCCCAGCCTCCCCTCCTGGCATCCGGAGTCCACATTAGTGCCGTTTTCCATATTCATTGTGTTGCCCCGGGCACAGCGGGATGCAGGGCTTCTGGCTCAGGGCCTGTGTGTCTCCTGCAGGTGGTCCTGCTGGTGAGGTGCTCTCCATGCTGGTGGTGGCGGTACCCTTAGAGGAAGAGCCTCACCTGCTGCCCCCCCTGCTTTCCCGCCAAGTGGGGTCTGTCTGCATGGCAGTCGTGGCCTCCCGCCCCTGCTCTCTGCCTCGGGGACACAGGAGGGACTCTGCTCTTGCATCAAGGGGCCCCAACAGCAGCCTCCTGGTCCCCCACGCCCCCTCCCACAGGTGGCAGGTGGGGGCTCTCTTCCTGGGCTTGCGGCTACAGCCCCTGCCCCCTCCCCACCCCGTCCTCCCCATCCTTCCCTGAGTCGGCTGGCGCACTGTTACCTGCAGGAAGTCTTTCTGCTGGAAATGCTTCTACACACTTGTGTTTCCTGCCCTGAACTCTGACTCCATATCTGCCTCCATCCATGTTGAAAAGTTTCTATTTATTTCCCTTGCCGCCAGAGGACTGCTCTGTGCCCATCGGATAGGCGGGAAAACGGCGTTTCTCTGCTGTTCTGCTTTTCATCGCGCTGAGCATCTTTTCATTTTTAGAGGCCATTTGGGTATTTTCCACTTCAGTACATCTAATCCTAGTTTTTGCTTATCATCTCAGGCAGGCTAATTAACCCTATTTACTGTAATAAATAACCCAAATCTTCGTGGCTTCACATAAAAAAAATAAGGTTAATTTCTCTCACTGCATGTCAGATGTGAATCTGGGCTGTTTCTACTGAGTGACTCAAGCGTCATGGGACCCTGTGCTTCCAGCCGTGGGGACAGAGTATGAACGTGGATCATGGCGTGGGACACTGTAGGAGCGGGGCCCACGAAGGGCCGCCCGCACTCCGCTGGCCAGAGCAGGTCACGTGACCAACCCAAGGGCAAGAGTCCCAGAATTTGAAGGTGGAGCTGGGTGAGTGCTAGGAGTCTCTGTGGACTCTGCCCTGCTGGTCACACACTCCCCATCCCTCCCCCCCACTCATGCATCACGCGTTCTCATATCCCTCCCAAGGGAGACCGTGTGAAAAGCCATCGTGTCCCCACATCACCTGACTCCTGGTGATGCACATCCCGCCCCATTAGGACCAGATGGAAAGTCTCTCTGTGGACTAAAGAGTCGAGTCTGCCTTCCTCCCCGACAGGCCCTCTGGCAGCAGGGGGTGGGGCAGGTGCCTACGATCAACCTTGTTCAGGAAGGGAGAGAAAGGAAGGCCTGTGGCAGTTACTGGTTAGAAATGGTGACGGATTCCCGCTGGACAGTCCCTGGGAAGCTGCCGGCCCGTGGGGTACAGATTTCTTGATGAAACTCTCCAGGAGGGGCTCCCTGGTCCACTGTTTCTGATGATAGAGCACCTGGGAGGCTCCTCCTCATCCACTTTAGGGGCCACGTATGACACGTGTGTGGGAAGAATAGGAGCTG